CCATTTGCCACCGCGGAACAAAAAAAACAAGAAATGACTCTTGCAGAAATAACATTGATTGAGAACCTTTGATTGGATATTTAGAAGTGAAGAGTGGGGGATGTGAGTAAGAAGAATACGTGAAGGTATTTTGCACAGACGTTTGCGAATAGCGTCGCGCGGGGAAAGACGACGAAAGCCCACTAAAGAGCCTCGGTTTGCGTGGCAGCTTCCCCTCTTTCCATTCTCCGAAGCTTGGCCTGCATAGAGCCTGTTGCATGCATACATACGAAAGTAGCGCTACACACCCTTCCCACCCCTGTCCGGCAGAGCGTGAATCATCGAAGCATAATCCTCACCATGACCACACCGCCGCATGGTATTAGTAGCTGTCGGTTGCGCGGGGAAAAGTAAGATGGGGGGATGTGTGGGTGGCAAGGTGGGTAACAGAGAAACCAAGAAACATGGCGGGGAGGGAAAGGGTAGAAAACCAACGCCCAGCTGTTGGGAAAGCACGACATCGTGACCAAAGCGATGGGCCAAAGTCTCGATGATATTTCCTGGGGAAACGGGGCTCGCTTATCCTCCGCTGGACGAATCCGGCACTTGTTGTTATCTGATAGATTCGTTATCTCGAACCTGGAAATCTGGGGAAATTCCAACTACATGAATGATTACCGCCAGTGTTTCTTTGCAAACCATGAGCAATTCACAACCCAGCACACGGTGGAGGAAACAGCCTAGGAGTTGGCCCGCCTTCTCCAAATACGCACATATAGCCGCAACATGTAGGCGACACAGAGCAGAGCCTCCTCTGGGTCTTCATCGTGATGAGAAGGAGGGAGGGGGGAAGGGGGGGAGGGGTGCAAACGTGGCTTGACAGGGCAAGCGGCAGCTCACCCACATGGCTGACGAGGGAGGCGTAATAAAGAGGCCACCGTGAGGGGAAGATCTCCTGCAGCCTGGAAATGAGGGCGCAGGGAAGTGCGACGATACGATGAAGCCACGCGCGTCTGTTGGTGCTGGGTGGCGGCCCCGTTGAATCTGTCTCTGCTGTCCATTGTGCACAGTGGCCGTGATATTATCAACGCTGTCGATAATAGTACGTCACAACGCCTTTTCGGCAGATGAGCCATGACTATCTTCCTAATAGCGAAGTCCAAAAAAAAAAGAAAAAGAAAAAAGGATAAAAATCCCGTGAGAAAAAGCGCGCATTTTAGAGCCTACCATTGTTCGCGCAGGGCATCGCGCGAGCCGGAACGGAGAGCCGGCGCATCTATGCATCTGTCAATTCCGCCGACTGGGGACAGATTCTTCTTCTTTTTCCAAGCCACCGAAAGGCGGGAGACGTGGCGGCGCCCGACAATGAAGGGTGCTGACAATGAGGCTCTGGGGGGGTGGTCAGTGGTGCGGGCAAAGGTCACACGGCATGTCTTGACCCCGCAAAGAGACGGTTGTATTGCTGCAATTACCCCGCGGGGCCCCATGGGGCGTGACGGGGAGGGAAAGGACTGGGGAAAAGGAAAAAGTCGGGGGTGACGCCGATATTGGTGTTTGGCTATTGGCTATTGGTTGTCTTATTCTTGGCTGATTTTTTTTTGTCTTGGCCGTCTGCGCTGTGTTGCGATAAGGATAAGGTGCCGGCATAATCCTTACCCTGGTCGAAAAAATGGCAAGGTGGTGAGGGTGTCGGAATGGGCTGGGTGTAGAACGAACGTCTGCGTGGTTCCGCAAAGAAGAGGAAACGAAAAACACACACAAAAAAAAGCATATGATATCTATCAATGGAAATGAGGATTCCACATGCAAAAACGTCACCCGGAAATACGTGGGCAGCCGAGGGATGTAATATACGGAATAGACCCAGTGAAAAGCGTTCATTGGCCACAGTCGTCTAGGGGTCAGGACACTAGTTTGTGGAGTGTACAACACCGCGAACCACTGGAAACCGAGGTTCGAGTCCTCGCTGCGGCATTCTTTTTGTAATTTCTCATTGCATTTTTTTTTGTAACGCAACAGGTAGAATATAGGGGTTTTTACTTGGTTTTTTTAGTGGTTTCCCCGCTTGTATCTTAGTTGGTACATAAACATAAAGGTACCACAAGGCTTTGACGAGCCATTCGGCGTAATATACGTACATAATATAGATCGACATGACATCGGCAGTTTTTTCTCTTTTGTTGGTCGCTGATGCCTAATAAACAAACGAATTGATTAGCACCGGCTGTCCACCTAATCATCACGCTGTATAGAGGCGAATCTGCCCAAAATGTCTAGTTGCGCCGGCCTAAATTGTGGCCAGTGGCCACGACTGCTGACGAGGACGGATCTTTGGTGGCCTGCATGCCCAAAATGATCTTTCCATTGCAGCCATTTAACTAGATGCGGCAGTCTCACTACCAAGAAAGGGATAAAATCTGCTAAGGGGAAACACACAATACGATTTTGTGCCATCTTCCAATTCAAGGCGTCATTTTTCTTGCAGGTCGCATTGTCCAGCTGGTGGATGGGGAACACGGCAACACTTCCTTAAGTGGCATGCCGAGGCGGCCGATCCTGCCAAATACTGTTATAGCAACGAAAAGAAGTGAGAGATATAGAGGGTAAAAAAAAAGAGCAGAAGCAGCTAGCCACCTAGACACCCAACGTGGGCGAGAGTGCCGTCGATTGCACTTTTTCCCTCCTACCCAAATGTTTACCCCAAGTTGTTAGCTGTATTCCTTGGGGTTGTCTTTTTGTATGGCCAACAAGATGCCCCATCTCAGCTACTCCGTACAATATGTAATCATCAACGTGACTAGTAAGAATGTAATGATCCAGAGCCGAATTGTAATTTCCGCGTCGGCCGTCGACGTGAAAGAAGCGCGATACCGCCCAGTTTTTTTCAGCCTCCAGAGCGACAACTGATTAATTTTGACCGCGGCCTAAACATTCAGTGAGCCCGGCCTGGCAGTAGCGAACAAATCACTTGGCTTGACCTTGTAACGGTCCGGGGGAGGGGGGGGGGGGGGGGGGGAGGTTGGGGGAGTAAACTAGGCATTGATGGTCTCATTTAGTCTGCGTTATTTTAGGCTTGCGTTGGTAGTGGTGCAAGTGGTGATGGTGGAGGGGGGTGTGCTGCAACCCGACTCGGCTTCACATGGATATGTGGGAGAGACAAAGAATCCGATTCGGTAGGTGGGCAGAAGATGTGCGTTGCACCCAAAGAGGAAAAGATGTGATGAGCTGACAATCAGATGGGTTGTCTCGGGAACTGTCAAATTGTGTGAGCGCCGGCTTCACACTAGAAGACGAGAACAATGAACCAGGCAAGACAGGATGCACTAATGACCGAGACATGGCGCGAAATGAAACATGACTTTCAACTGGACAGGAAACACAGACTGACGAGCTTCGGATGAGAGGTTACAACAATACAATTTGATGGTTTACAATAGAAGACAGATGATAATTTACAATACAAGGCAAATATATGAGTTAAAAAAGGAGACAAGTTGATAACTCACGAGACAAGACGCATTGGTGTGTTACAAAACAAGACAGGCTGATTAGCAAGATGGGTAAATCATCATCATTAAGATTTTCTAACAATATTGATATCTTCCGTGGCCATTCAACTCATATAAACAATACGGGCCCTTTTATGCAAGAAACAGTAAAAACATAAAAAAATGGAAAATATGTAAACGCAAATTGGCCAAACCAGCAAAGACCAAAACGCCCGTCAAAAGATGGGTCGACTATTACTTCTTCTGCATAGCCTTGAGCTTGAGTCCGAGCTTGACCATGTTCCACATTGCGTTGTCGCCCAATAGGGAGCGCGTTTCCAGACCAGAGTCGACACTGCGCGACTTGTGCTTGCTCCAGTGGCCGGCAATGTTGCCGAGGAGTGTCTGATTGGCAAAGACGCCAGACAGGGCGTTGATAAAGTCAGTACCGTTGCTCGGCCCGTCGCCAGTAATGGCACCGCCGCCCTTGAGTAGACCGCTGAGAATGTCGCTCAGCAGAGTGACGACGGAAATGTTGACTGCCAGTGGCCGTTTGCCCAAAACCTCTTCCAGGAATGTGATGTGCTGGTCTCCGTTGATCACGACCTTGGTGGCCGTGGCGTTGAGCTGCACGACACCTTCGCCCAGGGGTCGAGATTGGCTGCCAAGGAAGCCGCTGAGGTTTCCAAGAATGACATTGAGGTCAATGAAGCCCTCAAAAGACTGAGTATGGTTACCAGGTTCAATAACAATGCCCGCTAAGGTGAGCTCGCCGAGCTTCATGTCGCCCGAGGCGATACCCAGTGTGATGTCTCCAAAAGATAAGGCGAGGGGGCTAACGTTAGGAAGCATGAGATCACCCCTCAGGTTGATGCCATTTTGGGTCGGGAAGAGAAATTCAAGCTTGCGCATTTGGATGCCTTGAAGCGCATTGAGACCCTGCAGCTTGATGGTTTTGTCGAGACGAGGATGCGACTTGAGGGCACCGAGAGAAATGACAGCCTCGGTACCACGTACGCTGAGGTCGTACTCGCCGGGGGCATCGTAGAATCCGCTGAACCATGAAGTTAAGGACTCAAGATTTGTGATTTTCTGTTCCTGGTCCTTGATGCTAAAGTTGGTGTTGCCGCCTTGAAGATCCAGAGGGGGCACTTCGACAGACAGAAAGGGATCAAACTCGGGAGCGCTTTTGTCGTAGAGCTCCAGAACAAATTCATTGGTCTTTGCTTTGAGACCAGGGGGAGTGCGAAATGAGCTGTCCAGTGTGATCTTGAGGGCGTCTGGTGCAATGACGTTAAGTGCGCCGCTTCTAATAGGGAGTGTCTGCTGGTTGACAATCAGCTGGACAATGGCGGGCAGCGCCACGGTGAAGCTGTTGTGAGAGTCAGCAAATTATCAAGTCAAAGAGAGCCGGGAGGAGGTACGAGCAAACTTACATAATGGGCAGCAGAATGGCAAGGAAGATGATGGTCCCCAAGAGATACCACTTCCATTTGTGCTTGATATGGGCAACACTCCATGTTTTTCCCTCCCTGGCTGCAGTGGCAATCTTCTCTCGAGTGATCTCTCGGCGAGGGTTGTTCTTGCTGATGATGTGGTCGTTGGTGTCAGCAGTCGATGCATTTTCCAAAGGAGGCATCTCATCGCCGTCTAGTGCCTGGCCGGCATGGTCATTGCCACGTCCGTTGGCGCCAGCGACACGGGCAGTGGTGGCGTGGTGAGTTGTGGCGTGGTAGGAATCGACATCAGAGTCGTGATGCTCTTCCCTGAACGCGGACGCCATGGTGAAGCGACGTTGTTTCCCGCGAGGTCAATGCCTTTTGGGATCAATTGAGATGATGCAAAAGGCAGAGATGTGCTTGCGAGTGGGAGTAGTAAGCTGGGGGAGGGGGCAGGTGTTGTGGTAGGTAGGCTGCACGCAGGTAGAGGTAGGTACCTTGTACCGGTCTTGGTGCTGTGCTGCGTTACCTTAACTGAAAAAGTTAGAGAGGTACCTATAAAGTAAACTCTAGTTACAGCTGCACCAATCGAACACGTTACGGTGGACGTGGGTTCAATTGCAGTGCGGGGAGTAGGACCAGGAAAAAAAATGCAAATCTGGGGGATACAAGGGCCGCAACAGACGAGGGGAAATGTATAGGTAATTAGAGAATAGAGAAAATGCGGTGGTGGGCGAGCTGATGAATTGCAAGTAAAAAAAAGCGCTGGGCGAGATGCGCGACCAAAGCGAACATGGTTATTATGGTGGGGGCGCAGGGGGGAGGGGTGTAGATTAAAGCATGCTGCATGCAGGTGGATTATGCATGCAGACAACAGTGGCTGTGGGGCGGGACGGCCGAGAGGTGTGAGTGGGCACTCACACACTGAGCAGCGTGGCAGCGTGGTATTGTGGCAGCTCACGCTTGGGCAGTGAAAAAATTCGAATGCAGTGCTCTTCAGTGGACAGGCAGTTGTGGCGGGCGCCGGCCCTGCAGCGGCTCAGCGGGTCTGGGGCAGCCGAGGCCTGGACCCTCTAGCTGTAAGGGGAGTCAAGGGGAGTCATTGGGGCGTGCAGCTGCAAGAACACACAGACGCTCCATGGTTTCGGGAGGTAAACTGACCTCTTGGCTATAACCAAAAACATTTATATGTGTTAACATACAAGGTAGAAAAGAAATGCTCTATTGCAAACGAAGCTGACAGTAGCTACAGATGAAGCAAGAAAATTACACGCGATAAACGGCCGCTCGTCGCTTGACACAGCCGACTCTTCCAGCACCAATCTGACTCGCACAGTTCAGCTTGGCACCCATCTCAAGATCTGCCAGCTGCTAGGACCAGCTGTTACCCCGCACGGGGAAGAAAATGGGCAGGGTAATTTGTCGGATGGATGGGGATCTCGCCCGAGCTCTTGCGGGCCTCAACCAACCCCAAAGGCTGGGCCTGTCAAGCAGCCGTGGCCATCTTGCTGGCGGCCAATGGACGTCATTCTCGATAACCTGTGCCGCGGCTGGCGTTGTGGCTTTTCTCCCCTGTCAACAGCCTTGAATTGCCTTCCGCGCGGGGAAACGAAGACAGCCTGCCTTGTGACCATCACCAAGCCGAGTTGCTTGAGCCCGTCACGCCCGTCAATCCGCCTGCCCAAACAGCGCGGTGATATTTATGGCACTTTGGCGGGCACGCGGGGACGCACTGTAGCCGAAGTGGACCGGAGTTCACCATCGCATTTTTTTTCAGGGCCACTGAGACGAACCCTAACCAGGTGCAGGGCTACAATCTCATAACGAGTCAGAACTCTTATAATACGGAGCGAAAGCGGCTTGTGGGTGTCGGTTCTCGTACGAGCGCTCGTCGTCGTGGACTCGTGGCCACTAGCTCCAAGCTAGCACGCCCGCTATTTGAAGACCAGTGGCGGACAGACGGGTTCCAAAGTGAAGACGACGAGAATATTTGTGGATTTGTGGTTATTGTTCAACGCCAAAAGCGGAGAGCAGCCAACATCGTGCCAGTTTGCCAAGTTGTCCGACTTACAAGCTCGTATTGGTCCTTTCTGGCAAAGCAGTTCAAGCCTGCGTGACCGTGGCTCCGAGGCGTGCATCATTGTGTTTTTACTGTGGCTGACTGTTGGCGCGCTTTTGGTTGCGACTGTGCTTCTACTGTTGTACGTCTATCAATCTCTGAGAAAGACCAGCCGAGCGCAACTCTGACTGTCATGAGCCTCTCCCTTCCTGGTCCATGTCATTGTTATTTTCGTTTCAAGCCAAACAAGTGTCAAAGTGTTTCTCTGTTTCCTTTTCTCTGCCAAGCACCGTGCCAGTGGAGCGTACTGAGCCCAGATGGTTGCCCTGCCGCGCCGCCACCCAATCAAGCCCCCAGTCTGTCAAAGACAATATCCACATGAGGCGGCGTCCCGGGCCAACTCGTGCTTGGACCTCCCGGTTGGTCCGATTGATTCGCGCAGAGCGAAATGAGGTGCTGGTGTGGAAGATTAATGAGAAAGCTCTAATAAAAGACGAAAGCCACGTCCAAGCGGACAAGCCATACCGCTGTCAATAGCTCATCGTTCTTATTGGCATTATTGGCATGGCTTGTTAGATCTTGTATCACCGTTGTTGCAGATGTTGCTAGCGGTCTATACAGTTGCGCCTAGTTTGTCCTATGATGTCCGCTTGTGGCACAACATAGAATCAACCGCCGTACCTGGAACGCCTCATGAGCGGCACGCGACCTTGCCAACTTGCCATAAACTGCCAAGCAAAACTGCCTCAACTTTACGCCGCGGAAACAAGAAACTCCGGGGTAATCCAATCAAATAACGCGTATAGAATCTCTCAACCATCAATATACCAGGGGTTTTGCGGACAACCATGACGAGCAGCCACAGCTGACGAGGATAGAGTTGACGCCATGGAGCCCGCTATGCTAAAATCAGCCTTGCCGAATTTGTCCAAGGACACCGGTTGCCGGTGGAGCCTCACTGAAAGCTTTTTCGTCTTCATGAGGGATTCATTGTGTTGGTGAGATGTGAAAGAAATGTGCTGAAATTATCTGCTGGCAGTTGTCAACCTCGAAGACTGATGGTGGGTGTTCTCTCCCAAGTTGCGCGTTTTATTAGTCAAAAGTAATCAAACGACAAGTCACTACAGTGAATTCGGCCTTGACGGAACTTGCCGTGACGTGACTGCGAGCTCATTTACCGTCGAATAAGCGAGCAACACCCGTAAACGTTCTAGACAGGGAAAAACTAATAAATACTAGTAAACTAACTAGTTCAACAGTCGCCGACCCCGCTAGCCTGGCATCCCGGCGGCCACGCCGCTGGTAGTACTGGTAAAGAGAGTGTGGCGTACAAATAGATTCTTGTGGCGACAAACCAAGAGGGAAACTGGCTTTGGGCTTGTTGTGTAATGGACTAGTAACGCCAGCTGAACGGATCAGTTTCGCCCCCAAACGCTTTCATTCCTCTTTCGCCTAGTGACTCTTCTTGAGCCGCAACAACAACGAAAACGTCGTCACTCCCGTCATAGGGAAGGAAGCTGAGAAGGCATTGTCATCTGCAAGGAAAGCGACACATCGTAATACGATTTTTTTTTTAAAAAAAAAAAATTGCCGATGAGCTCAGTTTAGATATTGAACGCATTGTGCAAATTCCACAATGTGGCAGTTTGTTGTTTCCCATGAATGCTTTCCGTAGTGAGTTGGTCAACTACTCTTGTGATGATGGTGGCAGAAACTATACAACGCGTCAACCTGGACGCTCCACTGCTGATGCACATACATAGTCCATAGTCCGGTAACGGTAGACTGATAGCTGCTGGTAGCAAGTCTGCAAGAGAAAATTTTTCTTACTCACAATTCACCCTGGTAGTATTGAGTGGTTTTGCGGCTCGCAACGTACTGGTATTATGAGTTTTGCAGTAATAAGTGGCCGCCCGCATGGGCACGTCACCTAGGAGCCAGTTTTACCCCCCGGTAATAGTAAGATGAGAGGGGGATGGTCAATACTAAGTCGTGCTGCATCACCGTGCGCGGGCTGGGCATTCTCCACAACGAACGATGCGATGATGAATGGGCGAATGACGGGGTCGCGCCTCCAGGGTTGCTGAGCTGCGGCGGAAAACTCTGCGGCGGTCCCACGGACGAGTCAATACTACCAAGGAAGAGGAAAACACATAATAGGGTGGTTGTCATTGGGGCCCTGGCTTCCCCGCCTTTGGTCGTGAACTGTCCGGGGGAGGAGAAGCTGGGAAGCACCACTGGAGACATCACGGCCCATCAAGGATCGATTTCACAAGCATTTTCGGCCATGGAGGGCTGACTAGAAAACGCCATGAATACCATAATTGGTAATTGATGTCCCAAGATGCCGAGGCAGCGTTGTGGTGGCTGGATAGTTCTATCCGTATATTATTAGTGTCATGCAGTAGGTACGAGGTGGTGCAGAAGATGGGCGCGCAAATCGAGTCTTTGGCGTACAAACTACTGCAAGGCCGGGATGCGGTGGAACACGGGCAGTTGACCGCAAAGAGCGTGTGCATTATACGGACAGGAACAAGGCAGTTACAACTACTGATATGGAATGAGCAATTGCAGAGCTGCGATATGTTATTGCAGAATGTTCTCCTCATGCGGGGAGCTGTCTGCACTTTGCCGTCATTGCCATTGCCAGCTGCCAGCTGCTCACGTAAAGAAGAATGCAAACAAACGCAGCTCTGCCCATATCCCAATACCTTCACCACCAGGACCATTTCTTTTTTCCTCTCCTCCATCATCTCCATCATCTCCCATCATCACAAATCTGCCCGCAGCTCAATCCGCTCCTCCTCCGACCGCGACGCTACTACTCAGCTACTCGACGCCACCAGAATGCCCACGCAGCCCAGCAAGCTTATGTACCAGTAATAATTACTCCGTCAACTCTGCCGTCTACGGCACTACTGTCACTGATGAATGTCTTCTCCACCGCACTAGGTACCCTTTGGCCACGCCCCTCCCCGCCCAGTGGGCATCATGGCTCCACGAGTCCACCTTCGTCTTGTTGCCTGCACTGCTCGGCTGCACGACGGGTCAACGGCCTATCACAGAGTCAAAATGTCACCACTGACCCAATTGTCATGGTCAGTATCCGTAAACTTGGGGAAACCTGGGGGATTGCCCACGGTCTCCGTCCACTCCCTCTGAACTCTCTCCACCATCTCCGGACCCAATGGCTAGCTAACTGGCAATTCTCCCACCAGGCGTCGCCGATCAGCAGAGTTCTCGACTTCTGCCTTGGCCCTGCCTTCGCATCTCGCTTGCTCTCCCGTCTTCATTGTCGTCCGCATGGCCATGTCCAACTATTTCGTACCAGCAGCTCCGAGGCTCTCTAGCTTTTCTCCGCTTTCTTTCAACTCCCACGCCTCCCGCCGTCCCACAGCACTTGGCAGCATCGCACACCCCCCCTTGCCAGTCGACACACAGACGCACGACTTACAACCTTGTCTTGCAAGCCCTCCTCCACCGTTCCCTCTTGTGTGCTCTGTGCGGATTCGACCTGGTATGCTGCGTCTTTTGCTATTCTCGAATATCCACCCGCTCCAGTCCTCACTACATATCTACTCCTCCTCCGCCCTAGCCTCTTTTCCTTCTCTTGCTGGCTCCTTTCTTCTTCTCTTACACCTCTCCATCTTCGCCAATTGTCTTGTCCAGGTGGGAAGCCAATACACCAGTCCAGCAAGACTGCTTCCTTTCTGGTGAGGCAAACACCACACAACCCCAACCATGAGGTGGACTTCCATTCTGGTGGGAGCCGTGGCCCCTGCAGCCCTGGTCGCTGCTGGCCCTCGTACTCAGTCCCCCCCAGAGACTACGATTGAGGATATCCTTCAGAGCAACAACCTCGACCAGATTCTTTCCAAGCACAACTTGGCTCTTGTCCCTCGTAGCCAGCTCACCGATACCCTCACAGAGTTGACCGCCCTCCTCAAAAGGCAGGAACAGCAGGACCGCCTTGATCCCAGAGTTTCCACCCTTTTTCGACGACAAAATGCCACAAACGCTCAATCGGGAACCACGTCCTCCCAGAGTGCTAGTTCAGCTCTCGGCAACCAAAACGGTCTCCTTGACGGTCTCCTCGACCCTCTTCAGTCGGGAATCAGCGGCATTCTCGATCCCATCGTCAAGCCCATCACAGACCTTGTCAAGACCCTCGAAGCTGTCACCCAGCTTCTTACTCCCGAGTTCATCCAGGGTGTACACGACGGTCTTATTGGTCTCGGCAAGACCTTGAAGGATCCCATTCCAGAAAAGATTCGCAACATTGTCACCGCTGGCGAGCCTCTCATCAACGAACTTGGCAAGCTCGATCTGGCCAGTCTCATTTCGCAACTGGAGCCTCTTCTCAAGGAGCTTGGCGGCCTCGATCTGGCTGGTTTGCTCGAGGCTCTCAAGCCTCTGCTCTCCGGCGAAGAGATTACGAAGATCATCAGCATCATTGACGGAGCCGAGCCACTTATTGCCAGCCTGGGTAAGCTTGACTTGGCCTCTCTCATCGAGCAACTTGAGCCTCTTCTCAAGCAGCTTAACGGCCTCGATCTGGCCGGCATCCTCGAGGCCGTCAAGCCCCTTCTCACTGCCGAAGAGATCCAGAAAATCCAGTCCATCATCGATGGGGCTGAGCCTCTCATCTCCAGTCTCGGTAAACTCGATTTGCAAAGTCTTATTGAGCAACTCGAGCCACTTCTTAAGCAACTTGGTGGCCTCGATCTCGCTGGTCTCTTTGAGGCCCTCCAGCCTCTGCTACAGCCTGACGAGATCAAGAAGATCATCTCCATTGTCGATGGCGCTGAGCCTCTTATCAAGGAACTCGGTCAACTCGACCTCCAGGATCTTATCAAGCAGCTTGAGCCCATCATCAAGCAGCTCGGTGGCCTCGATCTCGGCAGCATTCTCGAGGCCGTCAAGCCTCTTCTTCAGCCCGACGAGATTGCCAAGATCATCTCCATCGTTGACGGTGCCGAACCCCTCATTAAGGAACTTGGCCAGCTTGACCTCCAGGACCTGATCAAGCAGCTCGAGCCCATTCTCAAGCAACTTGGCCAGCTTGATCTCGGCAGCATTCTTGAAGCCCTCAAGCCTTTGCTGCAACCTGATGAGATTGCCAAGATCATTTCCATTGTAGATGGAGCCGAGCCTCTGATCAAGGAGCTTGGTCAACTCGATCTCCAGGACCTCATCAAGCAGCTTGAGCCTCTTCTCAAGCAGCTTGGTCAGCTCGATCTCGGCAGTATTTTGGAAGCTGTTAAGCCTCTGTTGCAGCCTGATGAGATCAGCAAGATCATCTCCATTATCGATGGTGCCGAGCCCCTTCTTGCCAGCCTCGGTAAGGTCGATTTATCCAAGTTGTTTGACCAGCTGGGTCCCGTACTTGAGGCCCTCGGCCAAATCGATCTCAAGAGCCTCATTGACACGATCGCTCCTCTTCTCACGACTGAGACCATCCAAGGCATCGTTCTTCTGCTCTTCAACGCTGAGCAACTTCTTACCTCTGATTTTGTGGACGACACCAAGTCCCTTGTTTCTGGCGCTGCGCCGCTCGTTGCCAGCCTCGGCAAGGTTGATCTATCCAAGTTGTTCGACCAATTAGGCCCCGTTCTCGAGGCCCTTGGCCAAATCGATCTCAAGAGCCTCATTGACACGATCGCTCCTCTTCTCACGACTGAGACTATCCAGGGCATCGTTACTCTACTTTTCAATGCTGAGCAGCTTCTTACTTCTGACTTTGTTGAGCAAACTCAGTCTCTCATCTCCAATGCCGGCCCTCTTGTCGCCTCACTTGGCAAGCTTGACCTGCAGAAGCTTCTTGACCAGCTGCAGCCCATCATCCAGGAACTTGGTCAGCTTGATCTCGCAGGTCTCTTTGAGGCTCTTAAGCCGCTCTTAAGCACCGAGACCATTGGAAAGCTTGTTGACATCGTCAACGGTGCCGCGCCACTCATTGCTAGCCTAGGCAAGCTCGACCTCCAGGACCTCATCAACCAGATCGAGCCAATCTTGAAGGAGCTCGGTCAATTGGATCTTGCAGGTCTCTTCGAGGCACTCAAGCCTCTTCTCAGCGCCGAGACTATTGGAAAGCTTGTCGACATCGTCAATGGTGCCGCGCCATTAATTGATAGCCTAGGAAAGCTCGACCTCCAAGACCTCATTAGCCAGCTCGAGCCAATTCTGAAGCAACTCGGACAACTGGATCTTGCAGGTCTCTTCGAGGCACTCAAGCCTCTCCTCAGTACCGAGACTATTGGCAAGCTTGTCGACATCGTCAACGGCGCTGCCCCGTTGATCGACAGTCTCGGCAAGCTCGATCTTCAGGATATCATCAGCCAGCTTGAGCCCATCTTGAAGCAGGTTGGCCAGCTCGATCTCGCAGGCCTCTTTGAGGCTCTTAAGCCGCTCCTGA